AACACTTAGTAATAAAAAATATCTACATAATTGTAAATTAGAAGAAAAAGATTTAGTATAAAAAATACTTGTAAATTTAACTTTTGATATGATAGGATTATAAAGAAAATAATTAAGTAGGGACCAATTTAAAAAAAAACTATTTTAATATTCACAAAAAAAGTGGGAGAATGAGGACTTGTCAAGTGACAACTTGAAAGAGAAAGAGTTTGACTCTCTTAATAGTTGTCAGATTTATCTCTCAATGCATGAGTGTCTAGTATCTCCATCAGTTGGTCATGAAGAATAGGGGCATGTTTAGTAGTAAGTACTATATGATGTATTATCATATACAATATATGTGTTTAGTGTCATGTCGTATTGTATAAAGGTCACAATATTAATTTTTAAAATTTTAAGATTAAAATGTAATTATTCAAACTTTTAGGGTCAAAATATAAATTTTTAAAAGTTTTAGAGTCAAACTGTAATTTGTAAAAGTTTTAGGATCAAAATATAATTTTATAAAAATTGAGGGCTCCTCAAAATATAATTTTTAAAAAATATAATTTTGCATTATGGCCTCTTAATTTTTAAACAATTATAGGCTTCAGAATGACCATATGTCAGCCCGATCTCGATCCCTCCCAACTCCGACATAAATTACGGATCCAATATAAAATAATACAATACAATACACTAAAAATTAGCTGTATTCAATAATACGAAATAGATTGTATTAATTTACCATCTGTATTAAATTTATACAATATGATAGTCACACTAAACTCGTATTAATGTATTATTATACAATACAATGCTCTAATATAGTCAAATGAACATATCCCTAGATGTCTTGAGCAAATCCTTCCCTCTTAATTTTTTCATTCCAATTTTACATTGCATGATTAAGATGTTTCCAAAGCAAAAAGATAAAATTGACCAAAAAGAATACAAACAAGAAACATTCATTCACAAACAAGCAGGGACTTGAAAAGAGCCTAATGACTCGTGCCCCTTTCATTCCACCGATTCGAGTTTGTTACAGTAAAAACTATCAGAAACAGTCACATTTAACTTTTTTATTATAACAAAAAGCTCTCACATAAAATCACATTTCAACTCGAATTAAAAATTCAAATCAGCGAACTAAACGGCTATGAGCGGCATCATTACCAATCCTCCTCATTTAACTGAGAGCTAAGGATTGAAAATCATGAACAACAAAAACCACCGGTCCTTTACGAAGTCCATAGAGCACACACACACTTGCCAAATCCTCCATAATCACTTTCACATCTCCTTGACGGCCATCAAAGGCCACCATGGCTTGCCCCCATCACAAGCGAAACAGACCAATCCACCTACACCACATCCCGAGGAGGATCTCCTCGGCAAACACCACCAAAGAAGTAGCATTATGAGACCAAAAGCGATATCGAAGTTAAATTTGATCAAACCCAGAGGGTGGTCTCCATCCAGCAAACCCATCCCCCCAAGTGGCAGCCTCAACAACATGCCAAACTCTTATGTGACGAGCAAATTTGTCACTCTACAACTAAAAAGTTAAGGAGATGTTTATTTCCTGTATTTGTTCCTAATTTTAAATTATAATTCGTAATTCTTTACAGTATTTTTCTATCACAAAAATACATGTAAAACGAGAATGATTCTGAATCATGATTCTGAATTCATGAACCAAATGTCCACTAAGTGTATCAATTAGCATTCTCTTAGTTTCGTACAATATATGCATCTTCCTATTAGAAACAACGAAACAATGAGATTATTGATGAATGCATATAGGAAGATACATATCTGTGTTTCCCTTGATAGCTTGCAAATAAAACATGACGACAAGGCGTCTTTACAATTATTGACGAATGCATGGGTCATATGAAAACGACGGCACAAGGGAAATGGAGGAAAATAGTTTTTAGTTAGGTGTCGATTGTTTACGTTTGAATAAGAAGTTTGAATTGAATTCAAAATTTTTGTGGAATGAGTTATGATTTAAACGAAACAAGGGCAAGAGACTCTCTGGTAAACTTTCTCTCCGATAATATTAGTTTCTGACTATTGGATTTGATAAAAATCACATCAAATTAAAAATGTATACAGAACAAACAGTTTCTTATGCAAATCTTACGGCTGAAAGGTAAAAAACTACCGACAATTCATTTTGTTTCTAGTCCTCCTAGAGAAAAAATCTTGTATGAGTTTATTCCCAAAGTGATATATATTACCAAAAAATTGCAGTAAATAACATATTTTTAAAACTAAATTAAGTAAATAAAAAATTTTAAAACTATTTGAAGTAAATAACAATTTACCGCATAAACAATTCATTTATGACTATGGCCAACTCAAACCATTCTCAAACCCTTGAATTTAAACCATCCGAATCGTTTGCTACAATAAAATAAACTTTTTTTTTTTTTACTTTTTCTCTCCCACCGACTTAAATCTTAAAAATATCATAATATCTTCGTTTTAATTCTGATTGGGATGATTTTTTTTATGTGTTCATAATGAATAGAAGAACAAATCCCCATACATATTGCATATTTTTTAATTTCATTTACAATGAGATTTTATAACATTTGTTACAAAACTCTAATGACAGTTTTCAATACTTAATCCAAACACAATTCGAATTTTATTCCCAATTCAAATTACAATTTATTTACGTATCCAAACAACAGTTCGAATCACCACGGTTTAGATTCTACAATTCAGATAAAAGAGTTTAAACCTCCATAATTTGAATTGTTGAACCAAACAAGGCCTAAACACTTCATTTCGTGGCATCAACTTTTTCAACTCATGGAAAATGAAAACCCATCAAAGCTTGGCTTTACCACCATAATTAATGCACTACTTGACAATCACACCTAATTGTTGTATTGGAGAGGGGACCTCCGGAGTCCCGAGGTCTTCTACATGGGCTACACAAAATGGAGCATAATTCCATTTTCGCCAGGACTAAAAATGGTTCGCGAACAAAGGACAAACAATGGATGGTCCACCAAACCTACGCACCAACAATGATACGACATCAAAATGCCCAAAACAAAAAAGACCCATTATAACTCATGTCACGTATTAGAGAACCTCATACAACAACACCAGGCAGGTGGATCCCACTCCCTCCATTAAAAGGGAAAAAAAAAATGATGCTCTGTCAGCTCTCAGTTTCAGCACCAGACATGGGCACTTTTTGTTGGTCGCACTTTGCATCAACGAAAGTGGGGCTTCTGTAGCTAGTGTTCTCACTACTTGTGTGGGGTTCGGTTTTGGTTATATGGCCTAATTGGGGTCGCTAATGAGTTGGGAAAGATTGTAAAAAATGCCATTTTCACTGCTAAGCAGATGTTTACTACTTCGGGTTCTGAGTTGCTCGTTTTGGCAGCGACAAGGAAAGCGATGGCGATGTTAAAAAGACAGCAATCAGATAAGAGTAGAGAACTTAAATGCAACTAGCGAGACAGACATGAAGCAAACATAGTCAGTGTATCGGATCAACCCCATAGGTTTCTTAACTTACGGACACAGACATGTGGAAGTTGTTAATTATTAAGGCGACTGGTGTTTTGTTTGGTTGATTTCCGCATCAAATGGGGACTCTCGTGGGTTGTTGTATTTGGATTAGCATCCCAAGCCTAAGTTCAATTACACGGTAATTAGTGTTCTTTTGAAATGAAATGAAAAAAAAAAAAAAGAGAACCAAATTTAAACGAAGCATATACAAAGAAAACGAACAGCCTTCTATATCAGGCACAGAAGGACCAAGAATCAGGCACAGAAGGACCAAGAAACACAACGAATCTTAGATAGATGAGTCTCTTAAGAGATGAAATAGCAAAGTTCATGTGGCAAACCCAACGAAAAAACAACAATCCATAGAAACTAGACTTGTTTTTCAATATGTAAATCGAGCCATTTGAGACAATATCTATTTTCATAAATTTTTTTTTTCTATTTTTGCAATTATTTTTTTTTTGGTTGCGACAGGTAACTTCTTCCTTCATTAATTGGTTACATGTATTAACCTATGACTATGACATTTTAAAAAAAAATTAGAAACGTGGCATGTTCTGTTCTTCAATTTGAATAACGGAAGTTATTTTTTTCCTTCATTTTCTCATATAAATAGATGAGAATTGAGATGGTAGTTGGAATAATGAATTTGTCAAATAAACACCTCACAACTTGAATTGTGAGTCAAACTTGTAGCTCATATGGACTCTTAAAACACTAACTCCAATTCCATTTACAATTTCAATCTAGATTCTAACTCCAACCCTAACTCAATTTAAATTGTAAAACTTTGATCGGTGAAGTGAACACATCCTAGGAAACTTTCTCGAACCGTTTTGATTATTTGCCACTCAATAAGCAAGTATAGCTAACGAAAACGTTCGAGGTTCCATCGATCCTTGAATCCTTTTTAACTAAACAAGACTACGGAAAACTCCATCTTGAAAATGTTGCATTCCACTAAAATGACCAGTCCCTGAAAAAAAAAAAAAACTAACTGCCAAGTACAATAGTGATAAAAGTACTTTTTAACTCAAGTGAAAACAATGTTCGGAGGGTCGATGACACACAAATACGAACTAATTACTCACTGTACTTTTAGAGCATACCAAACTCTTATATTTATAAGGGGAAAAAAGAGCGCAGGAAACTCATTATTAAACATCCATCCAATTGAAAGTTTCTTCCACAAATCAATGCATTCTAATCTGATCTTACTAGACACCACTCCTTCGAAATCTCATAGGATTCAATGACTTAACAACCAGAAATGAATTTTTCAGGGTCATCACAATATACAAAAAAGTAAACATTTTCGTTTGTTCTTCAGTATATTTATAATATACAGAAGCTGATGGCAAAGAGAAGTACCCCAAAAGCTGAAAATGGTGATGATTCATGTTACAATATACAAAGTAAAAGATCATAACACATGAACCATCATCAAAATGCACACATGAAGGGGGGGAAAAGAAAAAGAAGAGAAAAAACTAAAAGTCTATATAAAACATGTACAAAAATTATTACAGTATATCAAGAAAGGGCAGGCAGGGGGATAACTTTGAACAAAAACCTGTGTTTAAAAGCATCAACACCAGCAATATAAATAGTGTATCATCATCATGAACAACAACTACATTCAACATGGGGTTTTCTGTACCACTAATCCTCAGACAAAGCATTTGAGGCATACCTGTAGTTACATGACAATCCCTCGTATGACCCTCTTATGTACTTTTCCTTCTCAGATGGTGCAGAACACAAGGTGTTCCTTCAAACAAATCCAACAAATAGTTCTCCAAATCCTCTGGCGTATACTTTATGTATTTCCCAGCATGCCTTCCACCTTCAAGCTGGCTTCCGAACCTCCCCATAAATGAGCGGTACGCCGGGATCACCTTCTCCGAAATCGATATCCGAAGCTCCTCCCGGAGCTGAGGATCCGGAACCTTCCAAGCAGTCTGAATTCTGTAAATATCTTCGAAGCACGCATTGAAATTCTTAAACCTTTCCTTCAAAGCCACCTTGGAGGCGTTGTTCGAGCTCCCGCCAATCCCTTCATCCTTCAAACAAGACAATGTCTTACTCCAAGAAGCTCTCAGATAACTCGTGGCGTATTGGCGCACCTGACCGCGGCGTTTTCGGACCCAGTGGTCTCCCAAAAGCTTTCCCAGCTCAGAATCCTTCACTTTCTGTACTATGTAAAGAATGTTGTTCATCAGAAATATGTATCTCATAGCACTGTCCTCGTAAAGTTTCGATTTTTCGTCGAGATTGGACTCCAGAGTGGTGATCAACAACAACAATCGGCGGGCTATTGGAGACACGTTCTCTAACTCCAAACTATTATCCCCACCACCATTGTTCAGTAACTCAACGTCTTCGCTTTCCAAGAGGAAGTTCAGAGTTTCACTGTAATCCACAAGCAGCCTCGCATAATTCATCACATAACGCGCCAACGGATGAATCTCTCCGCTGAGCATCGGTTTCCTTGAGGCCTCGCCCTGGACGGCGTTCTCAAACTCCGAAAAGGTCCCTCTTGCGGCGTCCCCAAGCGCAGCCAACACTCCGCGAGCCTCGCCAACTCCGAACTCGTCAGTTACCATGGCTTCCAAGTCCGGCAACACGTCGGCCAAGGCGTCATACATGTCCAATATCCTAAACAGCTTCTCCGGTGATCTCTTCCCGATTGCGACGGCCTCGCCAAAGTTCAGCAACTGCATCACACAGCCTTTAGCGGTCTCGTTGAAGCAAATCTCCTTGGTCTCGTCGGAGCCGCTGAAAATCTGATCGCATAGCCTCCTCTCGCCGGTCAAGAGAACCCTGACCCCAATCTTCACGGCTTGAATCCACTTCTTCATCTTCTCGTCCAGGGATTTCCACTCAATTTTCTGGACCTCCTCGATGCTCAGCTTCTCAACGCCGAGGATCACAAGGCACTCATCTAGGGCGTCGCGGCGGACGCTGCTATACACCTGAACGCACTCTTTCTCATAGCCGGAGCGAATCATCCGATCGGCGATCTCCTTGAGCTCGACGACGGCGTCGGGATGAATCAAGTCGACGCAAACGTCGTCTCCCAGGCTAGCGCCGCGCTCGTGAAACCGTCCGGCATGGGAGGCGTCGCGGTCCTCCTCGCCGAAGCTCTCAAATTCGTCATCGATTTCGCCGTCGTTGGAAGCGAACGAGAGGGAAACCCTCCGGATCGAGCCGTAGAGGCGCTCGGCGTCGAGCGGGACGGTGTTTCGAATCAGGATGTGACGGAACTCGTCCTCGAGCCTCGACATCGCGAGCTGGATCGCGTTCTCCGCCCGGTCCACAAACTCGTTGCCGGACCGGATCGAGAGGCCGTCGATCAGGTTCAGAATCTCATCGACGGCCGATAAGTACTCGGAAGCGTCATCCGGAGAGTCCTCCCAGAGGACAGAGTGCCTGGAAGCTTCGGAACTCGAGTCCCACCGGAGAATCACCTTCTCAGCAACCTCGAACCGGTCCTCCGTCCTGGCCTCCTCGCCGTTGATCAAATCAGTGATGTTCGACAGCCGATTGTCGAAGCTGGATAAGATCAAAAGCATGTCCTCACGGACCTCTTTCGGCGGGTTCAGCCTCCTCACGATCTGCTGCGCCGTCGCCAGGACCCGGTCCTCGCCGCCGCCGCCGCCGATACTCGTGGTGGTTGTAGCCATCAGTTCCTCCCCCTTCTCTCTAGAGTTTGGTTTCTCCGCCACAACAGAACTCCTAAAAGGGCGTGTTTGCCTGCTCAGAAAGCAGAAAAGAAAACGAAAAAGAAAATATCCACAACTACGATTCCAGAATCAAACAACACACTGAAAACATCTCCGGCATCGATTAACCGTCAAAGATTGGGGCTTTCGTAGAATTTCTCGTTTAGGGTTTTGGAGATTTCCTGAAAACTGAAAAAGACTGTTCGTCTCGGACGGCATTCAAACAAGGAATTAGGGGAAACAGAGACTTCCTATAAACTCTTTCTCTCTCTTCTCTCTCTTCTCTCTCTCTCTCTCTTATCGCGCTTTGTCTGAAGTGAGGCTTGGGACTTGGGTTGGGAGGCTTAAGGAAAGTACAGTGCGGTGAAAACCCTGCGGTTCGGTGCACTCCACCATTGAGAATACGACAGCTGGAATTATGGCCCCAATTTCAAATGATTGTTGTCCTTTTCCGTAAATTTGACGAGAGATCAGTGATTTCAGCTAATTTGTGTAAGATGAAAATATTGGTAAAAAGAAAAGAATTGCGTGCTAGATATTTTTCTTTTTTAAAAGGGCAAATTGCATGTTTTAGAATCGATAATCAATGCATGCTTCACGTTATTGAATGCGATGATTTTTTTTTTTTTTTTTTTTTTTTTTTTTTTTTTTTTTTTTTTTTTTGGGTGGGGAGATGAGGAAAAAGTGGATGTGCGACAGTGATTTTTGGCTTAGATGTGATGCTATTTAGGATATTTATTGGAAGGAAAAATACTATTATGTTTTATTATTTTTGTCTGTGAAATTTTAGCCGTAAAGTAACGCCGTATTATCACTTGCCCTTTTAGTTGTAAATAAATTGAGGACTTTTCTTAAGAGGTCTTCTATTTAGAGCTTTTTGTGGTAGAATGCACTTTATAGTGTCCATGTTTTTCATATCAAAGTAAGGTGTAATTATTATAATATTTATCCATTAATAAATATTATTATTTTAATAACAAAATATTTATTCGATAATTGTAATAAATGAAATAGTTGATTAACAAAATTAATAATAATTAATTAAATTAAATTCTTATCACATCACGTTATTAAATTTTTATCTTTAGAGACTACTGTGGAAATGTAATCATTAAATAGTAAATATATATATGTAAAACTAACAGAAATTAATACAAAATCTATTGGTTTAGGAGAAAAAAGAAAAGAGAGCTATATTTTTCACATCCTGCCATCTTAACTTTTGCCTTTGGAGTTTTTTCTACATTTTCTTAATATAAGTTTAATTGTTTCACCCACTTTTTCTAAATTATATTTTATAATTCTTTTACCAATTACAAGGATTCAATTGGGGGGTTTTTTTTTCCCTTTCTTAATAATTCATTCTCTACATTATGAAGGTAAATATTATTTTTGTCAGTATATATTTGATAACAAACTCGAAGGAGGAAAAAAAAAAAGATTGTTATAGTGCTTCCATAGGTCTTAATCACAATTCAAATATTTCTATCATGTACCCTTTTTTTCATAAAAAAAAATTAATCACAATTTAAATATTTCTATCATGTACCCTTTTTTTTCATAAAAAATTAAATTTTTGTTCAACCTTATGAACCAAACCTTTAATTAAATAGATCAAGATAAGGACTCGCACATATGCGACCTTTGTGCATACGAATAGTGAGAGTGATGCCACATCATGCATTTGACTCTCGTCTCTCTAGGCATGTGTTTGTAAAATAAAATAATTAAAATCAAACATTTTTTTACGTCCAAAGATCTGTTCAGTGTTCACACTCACATAGTCACATTAGGAAATGTGAACCGATTAAAATATTATGTAATTCAGTAATATTTTACATTTCAAAGTAGTGTTTTCTATTCACAAAAAAAGTATTGTTTTTTCCATTTAAGTATATGCCGATATATCTCCATCTCTACGCATAGCATCACAATAACCACTTCCTTGATGCTGTCTCCTTAGAAGAGAGAATTTCGATATCAAAGAAAATGTAGTTTTAGTGCAAATATCAACCTCGTTTTGGTGTTTTTTTTTTCTTTTTTTTTTTCCGGCTGCAACATCCTTCAATAATCAAATAGGTGCATTGATTCATAGTCAACCATATAATTTTTTGGAATCTTATTTAAATTAGACTCAATTTAAGATATTTAAAAAGCTTTCCAAAGAGAGCTCGGCTATTATTAATCCGAATAAGAAAGATCTTGTATTTACTACATTTTCTTAATTTTTTTTTTCAAAAAATAACAAAAAACGATACGACATAGATATAAATCTGGTTAGACACAAACAAAACCGAATGGTGGAAAAACCACCTCCATTATTAAAAAAAAAAAAAAAACACCTCCATTATAATTGAGTCTGTAATGTATCTGTGTGAAATGAAATTTTCTTTATAAAAAAAAAAAAAAAAGAAACAAGAAAAGGTATCCAAGACCCCCTAATTGACAGTAAATAGTTTATTTCTACCTTCTTTGATAACTTGTAATGGTTTCACTTCCAACACCTACATAAATGCTTTCTAAAATTGCAAATTCAAAAAAAAAAAAAAAAAAAAAAAAAAAACCTTAAAAAAAAAAAAAAAAAAAAAAAAAAAAAAAAAAAAAAAAACCTTAGTAAAAAGAAAGGAAAAAAAAATAGAAAGGAGCAAAATATATGTCATATCTACTTTTATATTGATCGAAATGTCTCATTATGTAGTTCTAAAAAAATTGGTAACTAACTCTATTGGCACCAACACCCACATGTTCTTTCGGTAGTTGCCTAGTTGCCCTTTGAATTACGTCACACTTGTGACATATTCGGCTGTCAAACTTCCCTTTTCTTCCTCCAATTATTGACCAATTCAAGCCCGATCAAAGGACCGCGATTAGATATTTATTTTATTTTTGATGAATAAAGGACCAAGATTAGATTACCAACCCTACGATTCAACACATCACAAGCCTTAAATAACCCTTCATCTCTAAAGAATGATTGATGTTTAAAGTAGTTTTAGATTATCCAATTTTAATCTCTCCTAGATGACAAAAGGTTCTCTTTCAGCTTGAGTTGCCAAAAAGACTTTCCAAAACTTTTGACTTGAATCAAAGCTGATTTAGACCAAAACTATATAAACAGACTTGAAAAGATTGTGACCTCAACTCAGGTAGTTAGCTTTAACTTTCCTGGTCCGAGTAGTTGTGGGGCCCAGCCCAGCTGAGTTTTGTCTGTGATATGCAAACCTCTAGCAGATCATGTGCTTTTAACGAACTAATGGTGGTTGAAACAGTTGTATTTTATCATTCATTAACCAACTTTTCTCACTACTCTAGGCAAATTTCTGAACAGTAGTATTTTATTTTTTTTAATAGTATTTTTGCCTTAAAAAATTGTGCTTTGATTGTTTTGTTAGAGGCAGCGAGGAAAATGACAAAAAGAGAAAAGGGAGATGTCTAAAGGTTTTCTTTGTTTCTCATCTTCTATGGGACTGCAAAAATCCTGTAAGGAAACCTTTTGTATCTAAGCAGAATTGAGGGCCTCGAGTTGCTTTCGAAGATCTTCCAGGTCATCTACATGAGAAACTGGTGTTTCAGCAGGCAATGTTTGGTACTCATCTGCACTCGGAAGCTCCCGAATAAGACCTTCTGGAAGGGGGGCATCTGAAATAAAAAGGAGACCAGAAGAAATGTAATGAGTATAAATTAATGCAAGATATTTGCCATTTCCATTACAACGTGAAAGATGTTGAATTTAAGACGATCTTAATTCCACAATGATTTCGTAGTCGAAATTATAGAAGAGCATCGGAGCGAAAGAATACAATCTTTAAAGCATCAATATGTAAGCAGAACATCAGAAAACAGAATTGTCTTTTAATCAAGTTTTGATTATTCATTCATGTAGTACTAATTTTATGACCTACTTTGCATAAAAGGATCGATTTGACTGTAGTTATCACCCTTGGATCAATTGGGTGGAAAGAAATTCGGTCAAATAAACTAAAAACTGAGAATTCATTTTCCAGTTACTGCAGGATTGGTTTTAACTTATCAAGTGCAATTCAAAACCTATGTGGCAATTCCAATTTGTGATCTATGAGTCCAACCTTGGCATGCATTCATCAAACGGAGTAAAATATGGAATATATTATTTCATAGATGAAATATAAAAAGGGACCATGTAAAGTCCATCTATCAAAGATGTTGAGAATACTGGAAAAAAAATGCAACGGCCAGTCGGCCACTTTGCAAACATCCACCTATTAACCGTGGTCATATACTTATTATAGCCTAAAGCACATAAAAAGATGAGGTACCTGAACTCTTTACATCTACCTTATCCAGCTCGCTTTCATCAACAACACTGAATTTAAGAGAAATAAAGTACATTAGATTAATGATATTACTGAACTTGAAAGCTTAATTTTGAGAATAGCTCGAAAGCTCAAATTTTGAGAATGGAATAGGAACACTTATCAGTGACCCAGTATCATGTCACTAAATTATGCATTAGTTTTTCATTTTATAATTGTTGTTGTAATTATTTGAGAATGACAATATGCTTTACTTCTACCTGTCAATGCATGTACTTCAGTCAAATGCATTTTTTTGAATAAGCAACCATCCCAATGCCCACCATTTTTGTTTTTTGGCAAAGAAATATAATCTTAAAAGTTAGGCATTAACTTAATATGTTGTTCAAACCGAGACATTATCAGCAGAAGCACCTTATATTCCATTCATTATCAAGATGTAGGGGAGATTCTGTTTCTGATGATGCTTCAGCTTCCATTTTTGCTCTAGCTGCAGCATCCCTTGCTGGCTTTACATGTAAGAACTCTTTCTGCCGATAAAAGTTAATATCATATCAAAAAGGAAACTGCATAAATCTAAAACCAGATCAAGAATAAGGCAGCATCTGAGTTGTGTTACCTGTCGTTCCAGACAAGCTACATTTGAACACTGAGTATTTGGCTTCATTTCCATGGTTGGAAAGAAGTCTTTAAGAGAATTGTATCCCTGTGATCATGAAAAACAAAATTCAGAACGATGAGGCTTCATATTTGAAACAAGATTGGGTACAAAAACCAGTTCATAAGATATTAAGAAAAGAGAGTTTGATGTGCTCACCAAGTATGGAGAGACCTGCCCAAACTTCAGTAAATATTTAAGTGTGTTTTGGACTAGAAGCCCAGCAACCACGCCCTAAAGAATTGTTTCGTATTAGCATATATAAAATAATAGGCCATAGCACATTAACAATGCTAACATGATACACAGATTTAATTCAACCAATTATTCAAGTCAAACATTAGCTGTTTTGAGCTTCACATATAATGACAAATAGAACTTCTCTAGGAAGAAAGCATTAATTGTTACGATGAGCAAGTTCCCGCAAGTGCCAAAGTGTCATGACAAACTGAACGCAAAGGTCAACTAAATAAAGTGAAAAGACAACAATTTCTTACCATGGTAGTAGGTAAAGACGCAGCACAAACCCCTTCACGCTTAAGCGTACGTTCATCTACTCCAGATGCAACAACCTAAGATATACAAAACAAAATAAAGTTTCTATGTTTTCCTAAATTACACAACAAAATATACTAATCTGTAATGACAGGTAGAAAAGTAGGCGTCGACAAGTATAATATAAAGAAGTATGCAGTATGAAACTTCAGAGCAAAAGAAAAAAGTTAAAAGTATGAACCTCGGCAGTATTAGCACTGCATTTCATTCATGCAAAAGATGATTCTGGATTATTCACCTCACAACAAATATATACTTTCACAAATACCCAAATAGTCAAGGAATTGAGAGAAGCATACCAAAGGAGGTGCACATGCAAAACAGGCTGTTTCACCGGGAATCAGCAACTGAATATGACCTGAAACAGCATCCTCAGATACACCTGACACAAAAGTATGATTTGATTGTGAATTTCTTTTCAATGTATACTAACACATACCAGAATCCATACGTGTAATAAATGCATAAACTATGCACAACGCAGGCACAAACATCATTCGAGAATATAAAATTTCAAATTGCAAATTAATGTTGAATACAAGAAGGCACATCTTGACGTATTTGAGTAATAAGACAGCTCTTCTCAGCATGAGGATGTATAAATTTGGGAACTGTTGCTTACCAGACTCCATCCATGTCTGATTCAGTTCGTTGCATGCCTGTATAACATTAAGATAATTTGATAAGGAAATTTTTTAACAAAAAGAAAAGGTCATATAAGTTTTTCTGCACAATTACCAGATACTGATCTATGATGCATTACCTGGTTAACAGCCATCCTTGCTTCATAATTATCAACGCAACTTAGAACCAAATCCACTCCACTACCTTCTTTATTTGGGCGAAATGATTTATTTTTCAAACTTGACATAAACGTGTCAAAACCTTGCACCGTTGTGATGTTCATCGTATAACTCTAGATACAAAATAAAGCAAATCCAAAACTACATAGAGTAAACATCCACTCTTTTTGTAATTTATTGTACCATGCCATGTGGATATGAGGCATTGACCATATGAGAATTACAAACTATATTAAAACCTTAATTCTCCAGCGTAACAACTCACTGGTGTCAAAAATTTCAAGACTCTGGATGCAATGCTGTCATATAGATCAGCAGCCAAAAGAAATCAACCAATAGAAATGACATATAAGATAAGTATAAGATTTTATGCGTCTCATTTCTTATGCTGGAATGAAACTCAATATGCTATGAGAAAAAACTCGTAAAAAAGTCATGCTAGCATGAAGACATTCTTGTTTATATATCCTCAAAAATGATTAGGAATTTTGTGATAGGAAAAGAAAAAAGTCTCAGAAAATCTTACCTCGAGCACAACATCTGGATTTATGTCTGAGAGGGTCTGTACAGCAGCATCTGTCTTTGTCATACCAACCTGAAAAGGCATATAACCTTATTTTAGTACTCTCATGCTTAAGTTCTCCTCATCCAATAGAAAATTTATAAAATGTATGATTACAAAATTCGTGTGTTGGATTAAAATGATCATTTTCTTATAAAGAATCCAGGTTTAGTTTAAGACATCTCTACTAAAAGTGTGTAGTGTCCTAACGAGAAAAATTTCAAAAACAAATAATAAGAAGAACATCAATAACATCGATTAAAAAACCTGCTCTGGACGGAAAAATAGCCGATTCATGTTAGCCAACTCCACTTTGTCATAGTCATACAACAAAAGGCGACCAATACCACATCTTGTCAGCATCTCTGCTGCAACACTTCCCACACCACCAATTCCCTGAAGTCACATGAGAATGACCAATACACTAACATAAGAAACCATAACTACAAGAAGACTTGCGCAAACTATACAAAAAGAGAACCCCATATTAGATTGGCGGGAATAATGGCAAAAGTTCACATATATACATCAAACTACATAATGAAGTTTTTGTACGACAACAAAAGCAGTGTTGAAAGAAGAGATAAATACAGACAACAATGGCAACTGAGAATTCCCGTATACTTTCATAGTTCTTCACAATACCCATCCTCTGAAGAGCCATAAGCCTACTGTAAGGATTGCTATCTACCACCTCAGCGCTCATATCCTATCACCAACCAAAGTATAAACAAACAATCAATAAAATCGCCGCCTAAAACCAAGCACATTTCTGAAAACAACAAACAACCTACACAACTACATTAATTAAATTAAATACCTTCACTTTTGAACGCCGAATTGGGCCATAGTTTCCGAGATACGCCAGACGCTCAACACGCAATTTTAGCTACGAAACGAAAAAAAAAAAATTATTCAAAATTTTATGAATTCTCACAACTAACCAGATTGTTCAAATAACAACCAATTGCATGCTTAAAAGAACAAGCTCTATTTATCCGCCATTAATCTCCATAATGTGATTAAGAATAATCAGGAATCACAACTATTGTTGAATGAAATTAAGATCCGAATCATAATTTTGCAGAAATTAAGCTCTATTCACAATAAATCAAATCCATTGCTGGAATAAAGAAATTCTCCACTATAGCAATTAGATCCTGGAGCCTATTCTGAATTGAGAGAAATACCTTGTCGATCGGAGCACGATGAGAAGGATCAGCGATCGATTGCTTCAGAGACTCGAGCTCATTCAGCACCTCTTTGAGTTCAACCTCCATCTCTCTCTCTCTCTCTCTTGCAAATTCGTTTCTTTGCTTATATGCGTCTGTCGTTTTTTAACACCCGGCCTTTTTTTTTTTTTTTGCCCCGCACTGGGAAGGAAACCGGAATCTTTTCTTCCGGACCGGAGAGAAATGCTACCATTTGTCGTCGGAGAAGCAAAATCTATTGGGTCGGGCTCAGGCCCATTGATTATCGATTATGGGCTGGGTAGCGCCAGAATGGAGAAAATTACAAAAACTGACGCTGTGATTGGCTACCAATTTAATAATAATCTTGTAAAATTATATATAATAATCTGTCTAATTATTTACTCTAAAATGATAAAATTCAATAGATTAAAGTTAAAATTTAAAAATCTTTAATGGTATTATATTAAGGGTTATTTGTTAAAATTACCTGCAACAAAAGACTCCACCATAGGCCCAATGTAAAAAGTAGGTGATTATAAGAACGAAAAATGGAATAAATAGTAAATTTATAGTAAATAATTAAAGTAAATAACATATTTTAAAACTACTTAAAGTAAATAATAATTTACCGTGTAAACTAAATAATAATTTACAGTGTAAACTTTTTATTTACGATTGATAAAAACATAATTTACATAGTAAAAATTTTTATTTGTTTTTGAAATAAGTAAAAAATATTTATTCACATGAAAAAGAATAATTTAAGGAAATAATTTGAAGAGATTAATTACGTAGTAATTACTATATTGACTTTCACGTTTTATGTAACAGATTACGTAGTAATTATTATAGTGATTTTGAATTTTGATGTTTGCAAAATATTCTAAATCTTTCGTCAGTATTTCAACATCGCTAGTAAAATTATGTTGCATATTGAACTCACCAAAGGCAAAATGTCCAAAATGGTTTTGTGTGTTGATTAGGTTTAGTATCACTTTTGAAGATTAGTTACTCATTTGTTCCGCTTTCACTTATAAATTAGGTTTAAATTAGGTTTAAATTTTCAAACCATTGGGCGTGTTTGGAACTCGTTTTAAAATGATTTTATTTTTTTGTATGAAAATGAAAATGAAAACGTTTTCAATCTCATATAGAAATCATTTTTAAAAATGCGTTTGGTAGTTTTATCAAAAGATTATTTTCAGTATAAAAAAACTCATTAATATCTCTCTTTCTATCTCTCCGGTCGAGAGAGGAGAAAACGAAAACAAAAAATGACTCTCTCGCTTTTTTACACTAAATCAGAAAATCGTTTTCATTTCCGTTTTTTGTCTTTATTGCTCCAAACACAATTTTGAAAACGTTTTCATTTTTTATTTCTCAAAAAACGTGAAAAATAAAAACATAATCAATTCTAAATACTGTTATTATATCTATATAATCTCATTCGCACTTGCAATTACCTCTGGCGCCACTTTTTTCGTTGTTGATTGTCTCTCACATGAGAGAGATCGAACCTAACAACGTTAGGAAACTCGGACTCTAAATTTGTAAGTTTGATAAATGGAATCTTAAATTTAAAATGTATTATAATTGTGGTCCAATAACTAATAAATGTCAAGTAATAGACGGAAATGTCAGAAAACTTTTACACAAATGCATCTCAATCTTTTATTTGGTCGGCAAGTAGTTAGAACTTGAACCTTTAAATTATAGCATTTAGGCTCCTAATTGTTATCCATTAATTGGCGTAAGTTATATATTGAATTACATTGCGAAGAATTATTAAATTTAGGATTTTAAATGTCTCGATTAAATGTTCATGGTCCAACTTTCAAACGAAAAAAAAGTCGACAACGTGTAGCTGCAATTTATAAAATAATAATAATAATAATAACAATAATAATAAAAGATTGTATAAATCATTTTACCCATATTATCAAATTAGGGTTGCTTTTTTTTTCTCGTTCTATTTTTTTTTTCTTCTACTTTTTTATCCCTCCTTCTTCTCTGACAGCATCGACAGGTGATGCAAGAGGTAAGGATATGGTATTGTGACACCCTCACTCGGGTCGGGTTATGTAGCGTGAGATTTGGTATGTTATTTTTATGCTTTCTTTTTTTAATTTTTTTTTTCCTTTGTGTTGTTGTTGTTAGGATAGATGTAATTTATTATTAACTTATGAGAAACAAAGTTAATGATAATTCATATATTAATAACCCATATGATGAATATTGCACATGGGTAAATATAATTCTCACACTCGGTTAATGACATTCATGGAGATGGGTCAACATAAAAGATGAAAAACAAAAGCTCACCTAGAAGAAGCTGCGGCCAACAAAATCAAAAGCCCACCCTAATTATAACATTATGATAATTTAGTGAAAGGATATATATTTTCAAGGGAATTCATGCTTATCTACAACTTTGCATTTCACTATCTAAAAAAAATGTCTACATGACCAATCTTTGTAAGAAAAGAAAAGGTGGAGCCCGCAAACAAAAGGAGATTCAAATTCTATAATCATATAAATAAATCAATCAAAGATTGGTCCGTTTGTGGGGCCAAATTTCACAAGGCGAATAGAATAAGTTTGATACGCCACCCAACCACCCATTTGTCAACCTCATATTTCCGGTTTTAGTGGGTCTAAGTCTAACTACATATCTTTATGTCCTCATATAATGTTGAGGCTAGTCATTTGAAGCACATTTATTGTTTGGATTTTTATCTGGTGGGACCCCTTTACGGACAAAGTCAATTTATAATTGTTGAATCCGATCAAAATCAATTAATCAAATTAAAAATGTATGCAGAACGAAGAGCTTATATATATGTGTGTGTGTGTGTGATGACTGAAAACAAAACATTTTCAACAGTTTATTTTTTTTAGGGCCTTATCAAAGAAATTTTCTTATTATATGTTTGGTTAGAGGATTCAAACCATGATTTGAATTATGGTTCATAGTTCGCTATAGTGTTTTCTCTCACAAAAAATACACGTAAATCAAAAATAGTTCTAATCACATGATTCTAATCCATGAACCAAACGTCTCCTTAATCATTTTCTCATCCTTAATCTATCTCTCCTGTGGGGGTGTTTTTGTTTTGTTTTGTTTCATTCGTTTGCTTTAACCCAATGGTGGGCCTAAATATCAGAACATGAAGAAGAAGCATTGCTTGTGCTTATCTTAACAATGAGTTTTTTAAGTTCCTTAAGTCATTTGTTAATTCAATCCTAATTCCATAAAGCAAGAGTGAGGGGCCCATCACGGTTTGAAAGACTCGCTAACCCATTACTTACTCAAAAACCGGGCAACGACGAGATGTCTTGTTTTGTCTTGTATAGTGTTTAATGCTCAAAAGCACATATTGTCAAAACAATCCAAATCTCAACCAATTCATAATTTTTTTTTTTTTTTTTCAAATGTGTAATAAATTCCACATCCTAAAGTATCCACATCATGCTAAATTGGGAGAAGAACATTATTAGCACTTACAATCTAACCAACCAAAAAAAAAAAAAAAATCAGGCGGATGAGAAAACGGTAATAGTTAATATATATAAATGAATATTTACTATTTTATATCTTGTATTTTGAGTTTATAAAAAAAAATATATATCATTTTAGATGTTCTCAATATTATACTTTTAAATTTCAATTCGTATCAAATTATATATTTGTTGAGTCAATCGTGTAAATCCGTGTTTATTAATTTCGTACGTCGTAGAGGATTAATTGGTTAATTTATAGTGAAATCAATTTTGACCCCAAAAATTGTATAAATGGAACTTAAATTTAAAATTCCAAACTATAATCCTAAATTAAGCACTTATAAAACACACAATACATATAATTGGCAAGTATTATAGTAAATAATCATTGTATAAAACTCCCACATGTATATATAGTTTTTTTCATTTTGTTTTGAAGGTATTTATAGTATTTTCATTGAGTGCATTTTGTTTTTGACCAGATCAAAAGGAGGCGAAACGAAACCCGCCGTTGTCACTTGACTCACTTCTAATTGGTTGTGCCACCTCAGCCGCTATAATAGAATTAATAACTGATAATAGCGTACGACATCATGGCCGCTAGTTAGTAAATGACCTTAACGTGCACACGAAGTTAAAAAAAAAAAAAAAAAAAAAAAAAAAAAAAAAAAAAAAAAAAGAAGATAGCTGGAAAAACTTGGACAGCAAAATATTATCACATGTAGGGTCCGTTTAGTTCGCTGATTCGAGTTTTTAATTCGAGTTGAGATGTGATTTTATGTGAGAGCTTTTTACTGTAGCAAAACTCGAATTCTAAACTCGAATCAACGAAATGAACGGGGCCATAGTTTTGTCAGTTTTCAATGTTTGGCACAAGCAATTTGCTTTTTGCCTCTCTGGAAGCCCTTAGCGCGAGAGAGGTTTTAAGCGCAAAACATCATTAAGGGAAGGATTCGTTTCTCATTAGTGGCTTATGAGAATATACATGAGTTTTTCTCATTTTAATCTTCAATATTTGCTTTTAGAGATTTGGCCCTAACGATTTATTAAATATATAGATATATGTAGTTTTAACCCAGGATAAAATGGTTATATATATATATATAAATAGATCTTGACCATATGTTTTTTTATACATTTTTATTAAATTTTCTTATTTTTAATATTTAATCTTTCTTAAAATATTCACGCTCCATCGCCTTAAGTGATTTTATCTAAATACAGATTTTTATTAATGGGGAAGTTAAAAATAAACATTTTAGGGCATCGTTCATCTCACCGATTCGATTTTTTAGTTTTAAGATTTTACAGTTAAAAGTTTTAAGAAAATGTTACATCTAATTTTTTTCTGATACGGTTAAAAGCTCTTAAAAAATATTATATCTCAACTCGAATTAAAAATTTAAATCCATGTCTGAGTATTTATAACACTAAGGCCTCGTTCATTTTACCGATTCGAATTTTCAGTTTTAGGTTTTTACAGTAAAAAACTTTCAGAAAATGTCACATCTAACTTTTTCTACTATAATAAAAAGCTCTCAGAAAATGTCACATCTAAACTCGAATTGAAAACTCAAATCCTTAAAATTAACGAGGCCTAAAACTCTAAAAATAAATGTTGAACGACAAAATAAGACAAGTGCATATATATCTTTAGAGAAAATAACTCTTGAGGAATCATGACAATATGGTCGGCAGTCAAATGTATGGGGTCGAAGATACTCATGACCTATGTAACTTGTTGGGAAGAGGTATCATTGTTATAACTTATATATAAGAGTTGGCCCATGAAAATACCCTAAAAACCATGTATAATTAAGCATGGTACGTTTTTAATCGATTGTTCTATGGCCGCCGCGAGGGTAAAAAGGATTTTATCTTTAGGCTTTAGGATCTACCCCATTACGTACGGCCATATGTACCCGACCGTATTGAGTGTCAAAATTTACTATGTACTTAAACGCAAATCACGTTAAGTGCTGTTATAAAATCATGTAATGTACGGAAGACCAAAAAAGAAAAAAGATTGATGGGTATGTCAGAAAAGAAATCATTAAAAATTGCCATGGATTTTTCTTTTGGGTTGGAAAAAAAGATAATTTTTAACGTTTAAGTCTACGTTCATCAGTATTTTTAATGTTCAAGACTACTTTAATTTTATCGATTTGAGTTTAAAATTTTATTATAGTAAAAATTTTTTAAAAACAGTCATATTTAATTTTTTCATTACAATAAAAAGTTTTCATATAAAATTACATCTCAACTCAAATTAAAAACTCAAATTAGCGAACTAAACAGACTCTAAATTTATATATCTTTTGTTAAAAATTTATAAGATGAGACATGAAACTGCTCTTATTGCATATCAAGCTGTTGAAAAATTAATCATAATAAAAAAAGATAATTTCCAGTGGTAGAGTAAAATCGTCTTCCCCATGATAATGCACCAAAAAGAAAAGGAAAAAAAAAAGGTACTTATCTCTCATACAAGCATGCATGTGAAAGCAATTAGTGCTATAATAATGACCCTGAAAGAGTAATCACATGAACAACCTTACTTTGTTGTGGAGAGTATGGCCTTGTTTCTCCCACAAGTTTCCACTATGTGGCATTCATTCATGTATGACACATGACTTTATAAACACTAGTCACTTTCATTTCTTTCCTAAGTTGCAATGTCAAAAACGGCAGTTTATAATGTGTGATTAATCCTTTTTTTTTTTTTTTTTTTTTGCATTATTGACTTGTTTATTATACCACAAGATGTACATCTAAAAATCCAAACTCAAAAATAAAAAATTGGTGTTTCACAATTATGTTATGTAACACATAATTTAACTATGGATAGTGACCGATCAATCGATTTCTATCTCCAAAAGTTAGGTTTGAAAAATGAACATGATGATGCAGTCTTTGCTTGTTTTCGTGGCTAATTCATCCCCTTCTTTCCTTGCTTTATATTATTTCAATACTAGGGAATAACATGGCCATGCTTGTACATGGGTTGCCATATTTTTTGCTATTTTTTTTTTTTTTTTTTATGGTTTGATAGTGAACATATAGTTTGCTATATTAGTGACTTAATACATAGTAAACTATAACTAATAATAATATGTAATTATGTGTAAAATTAATTACTGTTTAATAGAGATTCAAATGGTGGACGTAATGAGTTTGATTTGTATTGGATGGGATTACTTGCCTCACAAGATGAATATATATTTTTTTAATTAGTTTATATTACACGCAACAATAACAAATAATTCCTGTTCAGGAGAACAAAAACAAAAGAAAAAAAAAATCCCAGAATTTTTTTTAATCATTTTGACAAGAAAGCATAGGCGGCTGAGTCTATGGTTCCATAAGGCGATGACTCTTGAAGTGGCTTGAAAGAAATTATGCTGATTTTCATCTTGAATTTTCAAACTAAAAAGCTTTTCATATATATATATATATGTGATTCTTCCGTTTTAGAGGAATAAATTATATGCGGAATAAGCGTGCAACGTGATGACTGATGAGAAAACTGCTGAAATAAAATAATAAAATGTGGAGATCATATTTATATATAGTTAGCCGTCCACGAAATGATGTAATTAGATACAAATTTAAACAGTGGGACAAGGCAAAAACTCATTCAAACTAAAGATATATGTGTGCGTGCGTGTGCCTCCTACAATATTTGATCAGCAAAAAGTATTCTACTACAAATATCTACGTTATTACATAAACATATATAGAGCATGTATATCTATATAAATTATTTAGTATATATATATTCATATACAAAGACGTATTCTAGTACACAATGATAATCTTGAAGTCGTTTCACGAATCTCTCCTTTGTGATCAGATATACCAAAGGGTTTAGTCAAAAACTGCATGATGCGAGTCTTTTAAGAAACATGCAAGAAAACTATGATATCATTCATAATCAAGTTGGTGCTTGACCCCAAAATTCAGCCCAAAATACTATTCCATGTGTTTATTTTCACAAGTAATCTTGACACTAATCCAAATGAAGAAATGAAGGGCAACAAGAAAGAAAAGGAAATGAAATTACAAAAGGGCAAAAATAAAAATAAAAATCTAGAGTTGACTCTTAAAATTTAATGTGAAATTAAATGCTCGTTTAGTTCGTTAATTTGAGTTTTCAATTCGAGTTGAGATGCGACTTTATGTGAGTTTTTTACTGCAGTAAAAAAGTTAGATGTGACTGTTTCTGAAAGCGTTTTTACTGTAGCAAAACTCGAATCGGTGAAATGAACGGGGCCTAATATTGCCTCCTTTGTTGAGTATTGTCCTTTTTGTTCTAGTTGTTTAAGTCGATCTATTCTAATAAATAGACAATTATGATTAATGAGGTTAATAATAGAAATACGAGTGTTAAAATGGATAAAAAGGTGGGCACGTGGGAGAAAGTAGCTATAGCAGCTGCAATGCAACACTCATTTCCTACCAAATCCAAAGGAGTACTATAGCTACTTCATCTCCTTTTGATGGGAATAGATGGGAGAAAAGATTTGTGTTCCACCAACTCCACATCTTCAACCCTTATCCAAACCCATATTTTCCATATCACAATTATACAAGTGGGGGGTAACGTTTTCAATATATATAGATATATATATATATATATATATCTATATATATATATTTATAACACATGTGTCTGTGTTTGTTTCTTATTGACCCCACTGATCAATAATATCTAAGCCTAACGTGATTTGCAAAACTCTTTCTCAGCTCCCCAACTAGCACTTACCATGCGTATGGATCTTAAAGTGTTGCGGAGATGGGATCATGGGATATTGTTGGCTCTCCTCCACACACAGAAAATGTATACATTACTTATATACATACATATATATATATAGAATTATGATATACTGTTCACCAACCCTGTTTAAACCGTACCAACAGCATTGTACATAAGGTATTCATGATATATCAAGCATGCTCTGAACTCACACCGGCCAACTATAAATTTACTCTTGTTACTTAGGCAACATTGAGATTTTTACGGTAAAATACGAAAAACAATGCTAACACAATACTGTTAGTATTATTAATGCGAATTCGTTCTGATATCGTTAGAATGTATCAGGAATAAGGATTTATCAATTTTTTTTTTATATAAATACAATTTCTTTTTTCGTTTTGTACTCAATTAAACATTCACAAACATGCACTACAATAGAGAGTAAAATACGAAAAACAATACTAACACAATACTGTTAGTATTATTAATGCGAATTCGTTCTGATATCGTTAGATTTTTTTATATAAATACAATTTTTTTTCTTTTCGTTTTGTACTCAATTAAACATTCACAAACATGCACTACAATAGAGTATTTCGATGAAAACTCCTAAAACAAAATTACACCCTCATATATTTTCAGGGTCCTATGTGACAAAAATCTTACAAAATAGTTTTTTAGTGTATTATAAGATGGCAGAGATTGATACTTCCACAAGACTAGGAAGGTTTGGCTTTACCGTCACTCATGGATAAACGGCACAAACAAATTGTAGTTTGGCACCACGTTTATCATGCAGTTTACATAAATTATGCTAGTGTTAACAAGGTTTCACACCCTAAAGATATTAACGTTGATGTTCTGTACAAATCAAGGCTTCTTTGAAGGGGAAAAAAAAAAAAGGGCACTTGGAAGAAAATCTATTCATTAAATTCAAAAGACTATTGGAAGGTTCTAACGTATACATTCTAATGTACGTTAACAAAACAAAGATAAAGTCTTTAAAAAAAATAAAAAAGAGTGAAACAAACAGAAGATTAAAAGAAAATTCCACGTCTGTGGACATCATGTTTATCAATTTCCTTGATGGCAGTTTTAAAATAAAAGAGAAAAAAAGAATATTGAGAAAAGTCTTAGGTGGCGTTTGGTTCATAGATTCAAACTATGTGATTAGAATCATTTTCGATTTATGTGTCTTTTTTATGAGAGAAAATACTATAGCGAATCACGAACCATGATTTGAATCAAGAAACGAATCTATGTACTAAACAGACTCTTAAATTACTTCGAAGTTTTCAAACTAACCCAACAAAAAAGGCAAAATACTTTTAACAAGTAAATAAAAAAGAATTCCATAATCGATAGCCAAAATTAGAATCCAAAGCGAAATTCTTGTATAAAATTTGGAACAGAATTAATTTTTCGGATGTAAATTAACTAATCCTATTTTAATTGCATCTATTGCGGGTCCACCCCGTTCACTTGGATTTTGGCGTTTTTCTTTGCCTCGGGCTCCACTCTCTCTATATATAGTCATGTCCTTTGGTATCGCCTTTTACCGATACGCACAACAATTCATAAACGGAGCAACCAAAAAAAAAAAAAAAAAGACGTAACGCATATATTGCAGAAGACACAGTGACAGTGTTTGGAAGATGAGAAAGTGAACGAGAAAAACAGAAGATGGCAGCAATTCAGAGGAAAAAGCTCAGAGCTTGTCGCAGAGCCACAGAGAAATTGGACTTCTTCGATGGATTGCCGGACGATCTCGTCGTTTGCATTCTCGGCAAGCTCAGCGCCTCCGCTTCTTCTCCCTCCGATTTCGTCAGCATTCTCCTCACGTAAGCTCTTCCGTTTTCCGAGAAAATGAAAATTTTTTCTCTGTTTCGTTTGATTTTGTTTTCTTCTTTGTCTTATTATCGAACATTTCTGTTCGCAGATGCAAAAGATTCCACCGGTTAGGTCTCCATCCTTTGGTGCTATCCAAAGCGAGTCGAGAAACGTTTGCGATTAGAGCCGCGAACTGGTCGGATTCCGCTCACCGGTTTCTGAAACAGTCCGCCGGCGCCGGCAACGTCGAGGCCTGTTACACTCTCGGAATGGTGAGCCAAATGCCTGTTTAGATATATATATATATATATACATATATGTATAAGTATATATATGCATATATATGCGAAGGAAAGAGTTTTTTGTGATGAAAGGAATTTTGTTATTTATGTAACAGATCCGATTTTACTGCTTACAAAACCGAGGGAGCGGAGCGTCGCTGATGGCGAAGGCGGCAATTAAGTCGCACGCGCCGGCGTTGTACTCGCTCGCGGTGATCCAGTTCAACGGCAGCGGAGCTTCAAAGGGCGACAAGGACCTATGCGCCGGCGTCTCGTTGTGCGCACGCGCCGCCTTCCTCGGCCACGTGGACGCCCTCCGCGAGCTCGGCCACTGCCTCCAAGACGGCTACGGCGTCCGGAAGAACGTCGCCGAAGGGCGGCGCCTCCTCGTCCAGGCGAACGCGCGCGAGCTCGTGGCGGGGCTCCGGTCGATGACGTGGCAGCCACAGCTCCACCGGCTCTGCTCTTCCACTACAACGACGTCGTTTTGCTGCCCTCTGCTGAGCGACTTCGGGTGCCCCGTTCCGGTTCCCGAGGTCCATCCGGCGAACCGGTTCTTGAGGGAGTGGTTTGGGCTTGGCCGGGGAGGTTTGGGCCATAAGTTGAGGCTGTGCGCGCACGGCGGCTGCGGGAGGCCCGAAACGAGGCCTCACGAGTTTCGGAGGTGTTCGGTTTGTGGGAAGGTGAATTACTGCTCCCGTGGGTGTCAAGCGCTTGACTGGAAGGTGAGGCATAAGGGCGAATGCAGTCCCGGCGAGCAGCGGTGGCTGGAGGAGGACGGCGGCGGAGAGATTGGTGGCGGCGGTGGGATGGAGATGGTGGAGGGTGAGGATGATGGTGAGAACGTGATTATTGGATAATGGGAAATTGAATTTGCTGTCTTTTATTTATTTTTTATTATGGGGTAAGAGATTTTGTTGGGGTTCGGCAGTGCCGTTTTGGTTTCTGTCTGTACAGGTGGGGAAATGCTTTTGGGAAATTAATTGTGTATGCATGGAGGCATTGGCAAAATTTGGGTTTACATTTTTCTAACCAAATTTGGTGTTGCTAATTATCCTCATTAATTTTCAGTCGGTCACAAATTTATTTCTGTATGTAAATTATTGATTTTATCAAATTTTAACCAATAACACATTCATGTTTCTACCCAAAAAACAAACAAAAAACCTCATTCATGTTATAAACTACGAGACTCGTGAACAATTAAGAAAAAAGAAAACCTATGACCGTTATCACCGATGTTTTTTTTTTTATTTGGAAAATTTTATATTAATACCTTACATTTTAGCAGAATTACCTTTTAGTATTATGTGTTTTTAATAATTTTAAATTAGTAACTTGATGTTTTAAAAAATCATTTTTTAGTATCTTAAGGTCATTTTTTAGAATGTAAAATGTTAAAGTTACTATTCTCATTAATTAACTAAAAAACTAGTAATAATTTAGAAAAATTCTGAAATTTTTTTAAACATTTAAAAAATAGAAATAATACTTTAAATTAAAAATAATTTTTAAGAATTTTTTCTAAATTTATTACGCTATAAGGGTACCAATATGAAATTTTCTCTTTTTTTTTTCCTTATTTTTGAAGTGTTATCATATGCGCATAGTTTGGCAATTTTTTATAGTAATATGGTCGCTTGTATATTCTTTTAAGTTGGGGACAGAAATTGTATATTCTTTTAACTTTTAACCACAATTTATTATATTCTACAAAATAAAAAAGCCACAAAATTGTTAGAAAAGAAATTGTTTTATTTTTTTCACATAAGCTTCTATCGCTTATGGTAGATGGTAACAAAGCGGGAATTTTATCATGACTTTGTTATGTGTATAGTTGGTTTTTCTTTAGTTATTAAGGCCGGCCATCAATTATTTATTTTGGCATGGACACATTTTCAGAGTTGGAGTTAGTCTCGAATCGTCTCTTTCAATAGGAGGAGAAGACTTGAAAAAAAGGGTGTCCCCTAGTGCGAGTTTGTAATGGGGGTCACAGAGACCACTCTTTCTGAACGTGGAAAGTCATTTCTTGTTGGAGATGCGATTTTAAAGCAAAACTAGTTTTGACTATTTCTTTTTAGGGAGTTGCTTGTTAGAATTGTTTTATTAATAGATTTAATTTTTAATTGTTAAATTTAATTAAAATCAAATTAAATTAAAAAAGTATGTATAGCAAACCGTTTCTGATATAAATTTTAGAAAAACTTTTAAGTAGTTTATTTTTTTCTGAATCTTATTAGCCAAAATAGTGGATAATACAAAATAGGAACAAGTTAAGGAAGAACAAAACTGAAATTCATACAATTGTAAATTCAACATTTCTACCAAACTCGGAATTGGAAGTTGCAAGGATGTCGAGGCACGTGGACCACGTTTTCCTTAAAACAGATTCGTCCCCTCCGGCGTGTGCTTGAGGTTACGTTGGACGTCCGTCTCCCAGGATACAACGACAACGACGGTAGCTCGATGCACTTTCGGAACCGTCCGGCGAACTAGAACTTGATCTTTCCTCTATCACCAAAACCGAACTACAAGAACAGAAAGCACAAAAAACACGGGGACAGAAACATAAGCGAGAGAAGAGAAGAAGAATTCCGAAATCTGAGTGCTTTGTTCATGTGGAGGATGACCCTTAATATAGCCTGCCCGTGAGGGATGTTACAAGGCTGTAATGAAGGTGAGTAAAACCAATTTATTCATGGTTTGATGGTGCTTGAATTCTGTGGTTACAGCCCCTGGAATTCCCGGATAAATCTGGTCCAAAAAGAAGTCTACAACCGAAGGTTTAATGTCCATAAACCAATGGTTATTGCTGCAGTTTCTACATCCTTCACTAATGCAAATTTGAAACAGCCACTAATGAATTAGTTTCGGAATTTAGTTGGCAAAATAAAAGAAAAAATTAGCTCGTACGGAGCGAGTTTTCCGATCCGCCATTCGTGTCCGCAGGTCACGGGCGCACACATTGGCCCCCAACCCGTCGGGATCGTGATTCACACCCCCCCTGCGCGTGAGAGAGAGTCTCTGGTATACATGCTTACCTAGGCTTTAAAGTGCAATCACTTATAAACACCACATTGGCTTCTCAATATGATCTTATTTTTGGGGGGAGGATCCACTAAATGGACCAACGGAGCACTGTCGGGTCGATAGCCCTTGATCCGAGTTTTCGCTTGAAAGAAGCGCAACTTTTAGGATGGACTCTTCTAAATTAGAAAGGTGAAGGGAGCCAAACACGTAGTATCATTGTGTAAATTGGCACCCCCTTACTTCGTTGTATGCAATGAATTTAATTGTTTAGATTAAGGCGCATCTGTCTTAGGTACCCCACTTATACCTTTTCATATCATATATGCACCGCTGCTGATCCTTTGTCCTTTTGTAAATCCAGCTTCAACCGAGCATACGTCTGCCGCGGGAACAGGAAGAACGAAAATTTACTTTTATGTTGAAGTCTTTCCCATTGGGGGGCGCCGCGCACGTCTTGTAAGAATCATGCTTTGTATCTGAAGGGCCCATGGTCCTCAGTGAGGAAAGGACCTAGAACAGAGAAGAGGTCTCTTGTTCCCAGTTTGAACGTAATCAACCACAGGTGATGACAGTTCTGGCAAATTTTAAGAAGATCTTCCTTGCTTGGAGCTATGTATTCACCTTCGCTTCCATTCAGTTTCCGGCAAATTACACACTGCCATTGGCCTGAGCAAAGTAATATCTTGCAATAGAGATTTGCATAAGCTCCACAATTTTGAAAACGATGGGAATCGGTATTATTTGAGGACCTGGTGAAATCTCCTTCTCAGGATAAAGCAATGCCCCACAAACTGGGTACGTTTGCTAGTTTCTTCTGTTTCAACATCTTATGAGTTGAGAATAAAACACATGGTGAATCCCCAGCAGGCATCGAGTCCTCTACAGCATCGTGAACCTGGTGCTGCATGCAACTTAACTGCCCCATTTGAAAAATGGGGAGGCTGCGGGCAAGCATGAACCCGACGAGAAAGCAACTGTCTGAGGAGTTGCCGGAGAAGTCCGAAAAGGCACAGCAGCAGGCCGGACCGGCGAAGTAAAAATAAGAGGAGTGCTCAAATGAGGGATGGGGCTTCCAGTGTTGACCCCATTTGCTGGTGATAGTAAATTCGGGGTTTTGATTGAAAGGAAATGGATCTGATCTTGTTGCAATTTAGGAGGGGGAAAGATGGGTGTTGCAGGTGATATTGAAGTAGGAGGATGAGGCACATCAAGAAAGCGGGTAATTCAGGATTCGCTCCGCCTTACACGATGTACCAGAAGAGTGCGGCAAGGTTATTATGCTATCGATGTGAGGAAGAGGATACAAAGGATTTTTCCTCGGGCGATTTTTCCGAGGCGTTGGATCATAGCTAAAAGCCAGTCACTATCTGAATGACTAAACATTTTCGTACTAGGGTTGACATATCCAAAATTTGTCATCAATACGACCCGTTTTTGATCGGGCTTTCGCCCATTGTTCCACTAGCCGATCTTAATCATGATAGATGGTTAGCACCAGAGCAAGCACCAATAGTCGTTCTAGAACCTTGGTTGTGGAAAGAATGCGGTTCAATACTGTCCCTCGCTTAGAATCTCTTCCAGCTGAGCTGCACTAAGAGGCTTACGTAAAGTAAAGAGAATTTGACTGACTACATGCGAAAGCTTTTCCTTCTTCCTTTCCTTCAGGAAGGAGTCTCAACTTGACAAAATCTCGGCTAAAGCTATCATGGGGATTCACCGACTCAACGGATCCCCTTAGAAGGGGCGAATCCACTGTCTTGAATGAGTCAAATTATCAGTTATATTCTGGTAATTCATATGTCAAGGGCTGGTAAGGGTTCTATTCTAATAAATAAGCGCTGTATATTATTGTAATCAAAGGCTAACATAGCCAAATCAGAATGAAAAAAAAAACCACTCCAGATATACAAATCAAAACCAACAGCAGAAATCCAAGATGAAAACAAACAAAAAAGACCCTGTTGAGAAATGACATAAAGGAGGCTAACCGGTGCATCCGCAGTGAAGAAGGGTTGTGGAGAGTGCTTTACATTCTCTTCAATGGTGTAGAGAGGCACAACAAAACCATTCTTGTCAATCACAAGTAGAGTGCACCTGATGCTTGTGAGTGACACAGATAAGTGCACGTTCAATTAATAATTTGAATTATAAATTATTAATTATTTAATAAAAGTATTAAAAATAAGCCTTGCCCTCTAGTTGGTAAGGCGATCTCTCTCTAAAATTAGTTGGTAAGGCGATCCTCCCCCCAAAAAGAAGTCTACAACCGGAGGTTTAATGTCCATAAACCAATGGTTATTGCTGCAGTTTCTACATCCTTCACTAATGCAAATTTGAAACAGCCATTAATGAATTAGTTTCTGAATTTAGTTGGCAAAATAAAAGAAAAAATTAGCTCGCACGGAGCGAGTTTTCCGATCCGCCATTCGTGTCCGCAGGTCGCGGGCGCACACATTGGCCCCCCACCCGTCGGGATCATGATTCACAACCCCCCCCCCCCCTTCTTCATTTACCATTCCAAGTACCATACTTAGACCATCAATTTCTCATTCACCCAAAAACCATTTTGAGTGTATGAATACTCGATTTCGATCTCCTCACGATGGAGAACGTAAATCCATCGAGACCCGTCCTGAAATCCTATTGGGCCCCATCCGAATATGGGCCTCAAAATGGGCCTTTAAAATGGCTTAACAAGCCATTTTTCAACAATCCCCCACATGAATGAAAAATTGACCCACGACAAGAAAAACACAAACTCGACACGGTGATAGAGCTCTGCGGTCGATGCCTGCAAAGAATAGGTAGGCGTTACCCTTTGAACCTTCCCTTGTGAGAATACAAAAACTTTACTGGCTGATCAGTAGACGCGATGTCTTTGAACTATTCTGCCTTCATGTAAACGTTATTATACTTCACACAGACATATTCCTGACACAGTTCTGTTCTCATGGTTATGTTCATTTCTGCCCTGAACATCTACCTGGTTCTGCAAGAGTTTCTAAAGAATTGAGCCCTCACAATTCTCCTTTGAAGCGGTCCCACTTCTCTCTCACATAGGTGATTTCTTAATGAAGAGTAACCCGTATTACTCCGCTCAGATTCCTGATGTATC